ATCGCTTCAGTGAACTTTCGCTCATTGCGATCGTTTTCCCAGCTAAGGATAAAATCGTAAGGTTTAAGAAAGATGATAAATTTCTTGGGGGGGCGATTTTTTATAATTATTTATAACGTTTTATGATCCGCGGGAGGATAGATCGAAGGCGACCTCGATTCGAGGAAGGCTTAACGAGGCTTCCGGGAATCCTGGGGAAATCGAGCCGATCAAGGAGGAGATCCCGGAAGGACGTCGGCGAAGCCCGAAGGAGCTTTTTACGAGAGTCCCACGGTCGTACCACCTCGTGTCCTTCGACCTCCGGTCGGCCGAGGTTTATGGTCTGGTTTTACGAGGGTCCTCGGCAAAGGGAAAACGCGACCCCTCGCCGAAATATTAAATTCACCCTGGCGCCCGAATCCTGGCTGCGTCCTTCGGCATCGAGAGTTCCGCAGGTCCAGTAGAAGCGCCTCTCAATCAGTCCGACGTGCCCTGAAAAGAGAAATTCCAGAAAAATATTAAAAGAAAGATGAAGGGACGAGAAGGGGAGAGGAATCTACCGGGGACGTGCCGTGAAATTCGGCACCTCGGGGATGTCTTCGGGTGGAGGGTCGAAACAAGCGCGGAGGAAGCTGAAGAGACGCATCTTGATAATGCCTATACACCTAGAAGAGAGAAATTGCAGGAAAATATTAGAGAAAGGATGAAATCTGGCTCTTCGGAGGTGTCTTCAGATGCACAGCCTGGAAGAGGGACAGACGAGAAGAGGAACCCAGGAAAAGGCTCGCAACATGTACAGGGCTTGAAGAAACGCATCTTGAAAGTTGGTACACACCTTGGAAAGAAATTATAGGAAAGTATCAGAAAAAGGGTGAAGGGACGAGAAGAAGAGAGGAATACCCAGGGTACGTGCCCTGAAATTCGTTCTTCAGGGGTGTCTTCGGTCCTGGGGAGAATTCAGGGGTGGAGGAGGGAACCTTACCCGATTCCGGAACCGGAACAGCGGCCGCAGGCCAGAGGGCAGTCCGTCATTCTGGCGGTAAAAGCGAAGTCAGTGGTAAAAGCATTCCTAGGTCGGACCTGACCTGGGTTAAACGTCAGACGCTCTACGATATTACGTTACGCGTTAACCTTAGGTTGGGCAGCCTCGTTCAATCTGACTGCGAGGCATTCCTCTTGCCCAGGAATTCTTTGGCCAGCTTTGAGCGAGGGTCTTTCCGTTTCGGGGCTGGTCCCTCAAAGGGAGCCTTTCAGGGCAGGTTTCGGAGAGCCGAACTCCTCTAATGGCTGGACGCCCAAGGAAGAATTTGGAAAAAGTGGGCCGACCCCCTCGGCTCAACCCGAAACCCCGATTCCTGATGCCGAAGGGGTTCATTAGCTTGCGAATCGCTGAAGGGCTCCGACTAAACAACCCTTGCTGCGGCTTAGGAGTTCCTCTGTTTCTCCTTCTATCCCTCTCTCCTGTTGTCTGTTTGTCGAGGTTACATCTGCAAAATGTCCTGTATACGTGAACTATACCTCCTAAAATTCGGGGAAAGTCATTCAAACAATCCGGTGGTAGTGTTTTAACGTCACGGATGTTTCATCCCCACGAAAATTCCATATTAATTCCAGAATTCCCGTGGAAACTGTACAAAATCCCGTGAAATCATTCAAATGGTCGCACCGTCACATTTTAACGCCACGGTCTAGCCGCAACAATCTCACGATGAAATTAAATTTAATTCGTAACATTTTCCTCGGCGTCGAGATTGCATAAAATTCGGTGAAAACCATCGAAGTAATTATGTGGTTAAATTTTAACGTCACTATCTAGCCGGAAAAATGTCACGAGGGAATTAAATTTAATTCGAGAATTTTCCTCGGCATCGAGATTGCATAAAATTCGGTGAAAAGCATTGAAGTAATGTCGATAAAATAATTTGATATTAATTTGTATAATATTTTTAGATCGTCCTATTATTTGCAATGAGGCTCTTGGGTCTTGTGTCGAGGAAAAGTGCAGCTCAGTTTGGCATGCAGGTCGAATTATTTATTAATCTCTTCCCTTTCTGCCCGAAATCGCGGATTAGCGATCGCGGTGTCGCGGAGGTACCAACCTGACTAAAAAGCGGAAGCCGGATGTGCAAACTCCGAGAGCGGTCCACTTGGACAAATCCGACTTTTTGTCGGCACCCCAGCCGGCCGGGTCCCGATAAATTTCAAACAAATCAAAAGAAAACAGTGCCTGCAGTGCCAAGATATCCGCCGACGAGAGCCGGCCCTCGTGGGCTGCAATTTTCCCATGCACCGGCCCGATGCTCTCGATCCATATTTTCCATATTTTCCATATTTTCCCGGGACCACAGTTCAATTACTCTCATCCCCCGAAATGTTCCTCTGTTCCTTCATTAAAAAGTACATGCATTAGCGTTAACATTTCCCCCGCAAAAATTCCGACTATCAACGAAACCCCTACTGGAATAATTCTTCTTAGAAAAAACCAAAGACCCGCAATTAAAATCGTTTTCCTTCAATTTAATGACTAGTAAAATTGACTACTAAATAGAGAATAGGATGCAAATATTCTTTTATAAAGTAAATACCCTTAAATATGTGAGAGCGAAATTTTGGATTATAGTTTTCACCATTACTGGTCAAAAATAATCTCAGGAAATAATTATAAAATTAAACTGGATATATACATATATATCATATACGGGATCTTCTGGAGTGAATTTAAACGAATGTTGTAATCCCAGTTTATATGTCCTTTTTTTAATATTTAATGCTTTCATAATTATACTCGCTTTGTTGCCGTTCTCTAGTTTGCGCTTGTCAGCGGCGATTAGTTTCCCCAAGTTTTCGATGTTGCGTATAATCGATTATTCCCTCACTTCCGGCGGTTTAAAGGGACGAAAATAACGAACGGGAATTCCGGAAGTGGCGAGCTGGTGCAATTATGGGATTTAAATTTAAGCCCAGGGTGCGAGTCCCGCCTCGGAGCGTTTCCCGCGTGTACATTTGACAGCTCGGGAAATCATATTTCTCAACTTTCATTTAAGTTTACTAGGGAAAGAAGCTCCTCGGCGATCGTCGAGACCGATACCACCGGCTGTCAAAATATCGCCCGGTTGCAGAATACCGGGAAAATTACCGAGGGTAGATTTAATTGGAATTTTCCTCCCCCTTTCCTGTTGATTTCTCTTAACGGGGGACAAGAGAAAACCAGGGTGGCGGTAAATCCCTCTCCCCTAGAAATTTCCTAAATAGACCCGAGACTCTCCCCCCGTACTCTCTGGGGGAAAAATTGGCCGTTAAAAAGCCAGGGTGGAGCCTCGGAGAAATGCCAAGAACGTGCACCCCCCGCCCGGGTAATGCACGATGCGTTTTACGTGCAGCCGCGGAACGCTCTGGCATTCTTGCACCCCCTTAATGCAGCGGAGTCGATGCACCTCCCGTATTTTCCTGACACTCGAAAAACCACCCCCCGACACAAGAGTGCCACTTATCATTCGGACTACTCTGACAAATTGCGAGAACGAAGGAAGAAAGAAATTAATTCTTGGTAATCCTCACGATTTTAAGGATTCTCTTCGCGAGGACGGTTGACATCCATTTCTCCAGCTAATGAATCATTTATTAAGGGTGGCTTTCGCGATAATTATACATTTTTTTAAATCTCGCTAAACAATATCTGATTTTCTTTTCTCTGCTTTATCGCAAGTATCTATGTAAGAATTTCGTGAAGAAATATCAAAGATAGATATGTGTAAGAATATGAGGTACGAGATTCTACGTCGAAAGTGCAGATTGTTCATATCACGACATTGGCCCAAAGTCTCCCAATTTCCGTTTAAGGCTTGAGGGAACATGAAGTGATGGAATTCTGGAAGGAAGTACCAAAATGCGAAGGTAACGTTGGAGAAGACGAGGAGGCGAAAGAACCTTGAGGGAAGTTTCGGTCCCCCAGGAAGTATCCATCGAAAGGCGCGCCAATTCATTTTGAATATCGACGAGCGAGCTTTCACGGCCTCGAATGAAATGCCGTGAGCTCCTCCTGCTCCCCGTTGTCCGTAATATCGCATTTCCCGCCGGCATTTCTATGAAAATATTTCCCTCGATTACTGCTGCGAGGGTTGGGGACACTTACCGCGCTCGTTTAACGCCACCCTGGCTTCTTATTAAAAGCCATCTATGAATACCTGCCAGATGACCCAGACCCGTTAAACCTCCCCGTTTCTCCCCATATAAAAAACAATCACCCCCTAACAGGAGATATTAAATTTCTAATCCCTAATTTCGAGATAAGACTCCTCCAGCAAGTATAAATTCTACTCACGTATAAGTCTCTTAAGGGGATGTGAAAGTGGCAACCGAAAGCTCAATCGTTCATAAAACTTTTCTACGGACTGGGTGTCTCAAATCGTTTCATACTTTAAAACGTGAACATGGAGACCCTAAGGTAGGTCCTGAAACTCGTGAAATTTCATTTTTTATAAACTATTTTTAAAATACCTATAAACAAATTCGAAAAGAATTGAAATTCCACGAGTTTCAGGACCTTCCTTATAGACTCCCTATTCACGTTGTAAAGTTTCAAACTATTCGGTAAACCGAGTTGGGAGAGAAGTTTTATAAACAAAACCTCTTCGACGGCACATTCACATCACCTTAAGGGGGTCTCGTCCATAAGACTTTCCCCCGAATCGTTTCCAACCGTTCCAACGTGAATATAGAAGTTATATTATATCAAAAATTAAATTTTAAGGGTGTCAGGACTTTCCTCACAGCCTCGATATTCAGGCTGCAATGTTTAAGACAATTCGGTACGTCTAATTAGAAGAAAAGCTTCATTATCGAGACATCTCACTTGACGCCACTTTCCCATCGCCTTAAATACCAAAGTTGGATGTAGAGGAGCAATCTTCTCTTTTTTTAATATTAAATCGAGTGCCACTTGTGTCTGATGTTTGCAGTATGACTTTTTGAGGGGGAATCGAGGAAGGGAAAATCTCACTGGGAAATCAAACTGCCCTGACGAGTGTGACATTTTATTCCAACGACGACGTACAATGGCGCGAATCTCTCTTTGGCGAAAAGAGTCACGACGGCCGCTTATCAATCGGAACCTTGGACTTTATTTCGGGTCCCACCCTCCACCTTGGATCGATGAGCCCGAAGGAAGAGTAACAGGTGGCTTAGCCACTCGTCGGGGTGCGATACGGCACCCTTGCTTCTTCATCCCCTGGAAACATTCGAGGTGCCTACAAGGGGGTGTCGATTAAACTAATCGTCTCGCCCGAGCAACCCCTCGACGCGTTCCACGCGAGCAAGTAATCTTATAAAGAGGTAAGAAGAAAAAAAAAGAGAGAAAAAAAGATTCGTCCAATAAAAGTAAATATAACTATTAAATTAATTTCATACGATAAGAGGCTCGATTATCGAAATTAGTCGCCAGGACGTGAGAAATTCGGGAAAAGCGAAAATATTCAGGAAATGATCTCGTCGATGGTCCCCATTGTCTACCCTGTTTCTTTCTCTCTGTTTTCCTTCTTCTCAGCACGTCGTCTTAGGATTCAGTTATCGAAATTTCGCCATGTCCTTTTAAAAAACTCGCTCATACACTGGCACACACGTATCTTTAAGTAATACTACATCGCTCGAAAGCATCCGCTCGGTATTTACAAGGGTTTTCGAGACTTTGAGATCGAGGTTCCATTTTGGAGATCTAAATCGATCGACGATCGAAATTTTGACCCCGCTATCGGGCTTTCTTTTGGAACACCTCGCTGATTCGGATTTATGGGATAGGTCCATCCTAGCTAGGATTACGCTTACCTGGAAATTGGTAATTAATTATGGGTATGAAAATGATCGAGATCAAGGGGGCCTCCCGAGTACTTTCGGAAAATCCTATTTTGCCTCGAGGGCCTTTGAGGGCGCGATCGATTAACTAATCGAGCCTTCCTCGTCCCTGCGCATAAATAAATTTACACTGCGCCCCTAGCTTGACAACATTCTACCTAAACCTAATTATTCTATTTCCATCGGTCGAAATGATAAAAATGGAGACCTGTTCGGTCTTATCGGGAATGACTTTCACAGTTACTCGCTACGAGAGGAAGGACTTAATAAAAATACCGCAAATTCCGGGGCCAACTATCCGAATTCCGGCTATCTTCGGTTATCACGCTATCGTACGCTTATCATCTCTTATCGTAGGTTTAGCAAAAAGTCAGTTTTCCTAGGCGGAAAAATGTCTGAAAAGTGACGGTTGATTTCCGTCGCTGGGATCTACGCCAGTCGAATTTTCTTTCCCGGCGCAACTCTCCGTTTTGCGGATAATTCTGCGGAAAATCACCGCTTTCGTCGGCCTGCGGAAAACATGAACGCGAATGAACGCACTCGAAGCCCTCTTCCACGATTTTGGGCTTTCCTCCGTTCCCCTTTCGGCGACTGCATCCTCCCTTCGCTTTTCCGCGTCCTTCGGGCCGCACGCGGTTCCGCAAGTTTCGTGCCGAAAGTTTTCGATGAATGCGGGAAAAACCGGCAGGTGGCTATGTCGCCAGGTTCTGGAAAAGAAGAAACAAAACTCGCTTTGAAACGCTGAAATCGGCGCAACATTCAAGTGCAACTACAAAATTGATAAAATGCGGACTTAAACATAAAAGGCAAATTTCAAGGAGAGACAATTTTGTAATTGGACCTATCGATATGAAATTTCGAGAGAGGAATATTCCTCATCCGAAATCTTACTAATAGATCTTAAGGGAAGATTTCCGTCTTTGAAATTAAATATCGATAAGAAATTGATAATCAGGAGTCGATAACAATTCATCCAGAGAAACGTCTTTCTAATAGACTCGAAGACGGGAAAATTTCCGCCGTTGAAATTAACCATCATTAATTAATTAAGACAGGAAACTTTCTCGATAGAAAATTTCCGTTAAGGGGTTAAATTTCCTTCAGAATTGCCGATTTTTTTTTTTTTTTCATGGGCCGTTATCGCCTAATCGCGTTTTCCCAGGTCGAAAAGGGTCGGGGAAAAATAAAATGGGGGAAAACCGGAGTATGACACGAGTCAATTACCGCGGACAATATCCGCTAACGAGGCGTGCTCCCGCGCGGATTCGCAGCTCGGTTAATTAGTTTTAATTTATTGCCAGCCGGGCGAAATTCATTTCGGAAACGTTTCCCGGCCCCATTTTTAGGGTGCGTCGGGGAGCGAAGGAGGGGGCGAGATTTCGATTACTCGGTTCTCCAAATATTAGGCACATTCCCCCACGGGGGTGTGCGCGCAATTTCACTAATCGAAAGTTCGATCCCGCTATCGAGGGTGATAAGGCAGTGCGACCCCATATGTTATCAGAGGTAGTGAGCCGCCTCACTCGATATCCCTACGCGTCCTCAAAAATATATATCTACTTAAAAAGAATGATAAAAAAGACTGAATGATAAAAAAAACTGTTATCCCTGAATGTCACGAAAAAGTTCGATATCGAACGCTATCATTCCAGATCGAGTATACTTCGGGAGCGATAACGTAGTAAGATCGCGTATTTTATCAGGGGGATGAAACGCTTCCTTCGATACTCTCCCAAATCTTAAGAAATACGCATTTATTATTTGAAAAAAAAATAAAAATAAAAATCCGACATTGTCAGTGGTCGTTGAAAATTATTATATTCATCATCACCACTTATCGTTATCACTGCAGATCGAATTTCGCGGCCGGAAGGCCAAGTTAATTTCGGAAGCAAACTAGTAGGGCGAGTAGTCACTTAGGATCCTACCCTTGTGGGGGTGGGTCCCCCCAAGTGGAGTGGGAATGGGCACCCTTAGGTCGGAGTGGGTCCCCCCAGGTGGAACCGCGAAGGGGCTGTCGTGGGTTTTAATTCGCAGGTACGAGTCCGGGAAACGCTGCTTCGGGGGTTGCTCTCTCAGGGGGCGAGTGGTTTTCTCGTCGCCCCCGGTGAAAGTTTCCTTCTGTCGGGGGGGGTTTAAGCTCGGCTTAAAAGCACGTCACGCCACCCCGACCTAGCCCAACTCGCGGCCGCAATACGAGAAAACTAATTGCGTCAGCCCTTTCATCCCCTGGCGAGCCTAATCGAGTGCTTATTAAAGGGTTGCTCTAACGAGAGGGAGGCCTCGCGCCCCGCTTATCGAGAGCTCCCATTAATTGGCTAATCAGAGCAGAGCAGTAATCTGCCACTGGTCTCCTCGTTAGCGATCGGAAAATTCTTTCATCTGTATCGCTCATAGAAATTCCATCATAAAGTCCCTAGAACATACCACATACGGTCGGTTTCCCATAAAATTGGAACCAGTAAATCTGGAATTTTTATTCGACGACTGGAGCGCCACTCGCGGAGAAAAACTTATTAACTAGGGTATTTTCGCGGTGAAGAAAATTTCATGTCGATTTTAATAACCGAAATTGATTTTAATCCCGTAATTAAGCTACGTAACGTGCAATTATTTCCTGTGGGTTATGTGGAGGGTGATGATTCTGGGGTGATAAAAAGAAGCAGGCCCGATAGCGACAATTTTTAATTGCAATGTTTCAGTGAAATGACGCGTTTAGATCTGGGAAAGTACGAATATTTTGTGCTATCTCGTTGATTTAATATTCACGGAAAGTAGGGTGAAGTTCCATGTGCGTACTCGGCCTCTCGATGATTCGTCTGATACTAGGGGGTGGTTTAATATCTCACCCCCTGCGCGACAGCCGGACACTACACGGCTCGCTGACGAGTTTCGACATCCAACTAATACAGTGAAATTATTTTCGGCCCGTTGCGCAATATCGAGCCGTCAAATTAATTCCGCCGGAGTTTATTGGCCGAATTAAAGGGGGCTATCCGCCGGAACGGAGGTCCTCCACTTTTCCTGGCACGGTTTTCCTAAAAATGACTACACGCCACGTGATTAATCGTGCAAATTGATTTCCACGGTTTTAATTAACGCGTGGACATTTTAGAGCACGATTCAAATACGCGTATTACACATTTTTAAGAGTTATCATCATCGCCATACTGGGAAAGGGCTGACAGCGATTAAAATCGTTGCGGTTAATTTGTGCAAATTGATTTGCACAGTTTTAACTGACGCATGGATATTTTAGAACGCGATTTAAATACGCAGATAGTACATTTTTATGATCTATTGTTATACTTTGAAAAAAAGGGCTGATTAATCGTCGCAGTAAATCTGTGCAAATTGATTTGCACAGTTTTAACTGACGCATGGATATTTTAGAACGCGATTTAAATACGCAGATTATACATTTTTACGATTTATCGTTATAACTTGAACCAAAAATAGCTGATTAATCGTCACAATAAATCTGTGCAAATTGATTTGCACAGTTTTAACTGACGCGCGGATATTTTAGAATTGGCTACAACTGCACAGATTACAGATTTCGACAATTTATCGTTATGCCAAAAAAGAAAAGGGCTGATTAATCGTAGCAGTAAATCTGTGCAAACTGATGCGTGGACATTTCGATACTCGATTAAACTGTCCAGTTTACAAATCGCCACGACTCGTCGTTATAACAGCCTAAAGGCTGAGTGATCACGATGAAATATTTGCGATGTTAATCGCGCACATTCGGAGCGATTTCTCGATCGAAGCAGTTTCGAGGTGGGCGAAAGTTTAATCCCCCGCGATAATTGAGCTACCACGTATGAGCGGGGAACGAGTCCGGGAAAGTTCCGCGTAGCGTGTTTCCGCAGCGCGGAAATGCCGCAACATCCGGCAGGGCTTGCCACCCCGAAAAGGGGGTGCGTCTTCGAAATGGCGGAACGAAATTCCGCGAGGGCGAATCCCGGAATGTCCGAGTAACGATTCCGTGAAAATCGAGTCGGCGGCGGCGTTCAAATATTAATTCGAATAGCCGCGGGGTAGACGAGAAGGGGTTGGAAAGGGGATGGGCCCCGAATTTGTGGGAAATTCGCGGGCGATCGAACATTTTGGGGGTTGTTTCCGCGCTTTCAGCCTTTACGCGCGTTTACATTGTCGGGGTCGACTGTGAGGCCGAGGCAAACATCGACGACGACCCCATAAAAATGATGCGCGGCAAATTTTTTTTTTTTCGTTTCATCCCCCATATTCATTTTATTTTCCCACTTTATTTCACGTTTCCCTTGATTTCCGCTCCATCAATGCGAGTCATCTTATTCCGGATATTTTTAGAGGTAAAGGCACGAATAACAATCGCGGTAAATCCGAATTTTTAGTAAAAAGTGGTTGGTCGGTTTTTCCACGCTGTCGTTTATTCGCCGGGGGGTGGCAGGGGGTGGAAAAATATTGCAAATCATGAGAGCGAGCCGAGACAGCGCATTGATGGATGTAGCAGGTCCGCACGTCCGGCCAAGGGTGGTTCTTGCTGTTCTTCTTGGGGGTGGGTCTGAATTACCTTGGACCACCCTTCGGACGGGGGAGATAAATCACCCCGCTTGTTTCTGGATTTTAATCTCAGGAAGGAGAGACGTCGGAGATCGACGATCGACGAGGTCTTGCCAACCCTTATCGGAATCCACCCTGGACCTTATCTAGGGGTGCACATGTAGGGGTGCCACTTTTCGGAAATACTCCCCCTTAGCTAGAATTTCGGGGGCTGTGACATTAGACCAAAAAGGGGGTCGAGGGGGGAGATAAGGGCGTGAAATATCAGCGATGGTCGGCGTTCCATCCGGGGGTGGCTCTGCATTTGACGCGTTCGTGCATGCCGGGGGTAGATACGGCCAGGGTTGATAGCACATGACGGGGCTGCATGTACGTACTCCGGATTCGGGCATCGTGTACTCGTTTCAGATACCGGCACTCGGAAATTCGCCCGCGAAACTCGACTTTCGCCCCCAGAATTTCCACCCCCGATACCAACGAAACATATCATCCCCCACAATTTCCCCAAATTCTTTATAGATTCTTAAATCATGATAACTGAAAAAAATAATATCCCGGCAGTCGGAAATTAATCTACAAATCTCGACTGTCGCCCCCCCCGATTTCCACCCCCTATTGTGGAAGGGAAACGCCATCCCCTGTATTTCCAGAAATTTGGTATAGATTCATACCCCAGGAAAAGTAAAAGAAAAATTGCAAAAAATCCGTACGGAGGGTAATTTTTCTTTCGATTACCTAAATCCCCTCATAAGGGCGCAACTTCCCGAAACTCGAAACGCGGTTCTCGAGAGCAGGGGTGGGTTTTCGCGGCGCCGAGTATTTCCCCCATAATCGGGGAAACGCGCCACGGGAAACGGCGCCGGGACAAATGCGCTTTCACGGAGGTCGCTTTCAGAAATTAATGAATTCGCGGAAGTTGCGCGCGCGACGTCGGGAATCAATGCAACTCCGTCCCGGAGGAAAACCGCGGAAGCCGGGCACGTGTGCTCCGGGAAATGGCCGTCGACGGTATGGAGTGATATACGGGGGCCGAAACGTGGTCAAAAATGGCCCTGGTCGCGAATCGCCAACGCAGCGGTCCTTTGCTGCGGCGGTAAAACGTGGAGCTGGTGAAACGGGCGGTAAAGTGGGTGGTGGAGTGGATGGAAAAATGGGTGGCAAGGTGGGTGGAAAAATGGGTAGCAAGGTGGGTGGAAAAATGGATAGGAAGGTGGGTGGAAAGATGGGTGGCAAAGTGGGTGGTAAAACGGATGGAAAAATAGGTGGTGAAGAGGGTGGAAAAATGAGTAGCACAGTGGATGGAAAAATGCGTAGCACAGTGGGTGGAAAAGTAGGTGGCAAGGTGGGTGGCAAAGTAGGCGGCGAGGCGGACGGTGAAACGGGCGGCAAAGTGGGCGGAAAAGTGGGCGAAAAGCGGGTGGAAAGTGGGTGGCCCAGTCCGGGGGATGACCGCGGAATAAGCGCACTTTCGAACGAATGGCCGAGGCACAGAGTCGAAACGAATTCGAAGTTCCTTGATCAATGCGGCGAAAATTGGTGCAGAAATGGCCGAGCCAGAAAATCCCGGAATTATCCAAACCAGTAAGGGAATTACCACCAAAAAAGGAATTAGCGGCGACCCCAGAGACGCTCGTTTTAAATTTCCCAAATTTCAAATCCCGGGTCCTTAGAATTTCCTCCGAATTTCTGCTCTCTCTTTGGTCCCTCCTCCCAGGAAAAATCAAGGAGTGCATCGGTGATCCCGAGCTGTGAATTTCGCGACACCGCGACATATCCCGCCGACATTTTTCGTATATTCGTCCCACCCCCTGTCGTCCACCTGCACCCCTCGAGCGAGGGTGGTTCCAGAAAAGGGAGTCCTCGTTTTCGAGGGTGGCTCTCGACTCGCTGCCGAAGGCTCCCAAGACCCCAAGGAAATGGCATCGCGAGAGCCAATTTTTCCGCGAACTTCCGGCCCGGAGGGGGTGCGAGCTTATCCAAGAGGGTGACTAATTACGCGCGGCTTACCGCGACTTTACTCGAGGGCTTATTCTTCGCCCCCGTTCGCGTGCCAGTTATTGCTCGGGGTGGCCTTCCAAGGGTCTTAAAAAGAGCGGGGATATTCCCTTAAAAGGGAGGAAAAAAACGAAAAAAAAAAAAGAAGACCAAAAGGACTTAAACGAGCTCATTCACATTTTCCAAAACTCCTTAAATAATTAGGGTAGCATTATCCGTAGATAATTTGATGCTTTTCCTCCCCTTTTCATGAATTATTTTTTTCTAATGGAATTTCCGAATTTTCTTCGCCTCGCCGATTTCGCGGTAATTACGCGTGATTAGGGACGCAACAGGGAAAATTCCGGATCGCAGAGCAATTAATTCGCAAATGAATAAACGAGGGAGTAGGTGCGATGGGGCATATTCCAACATTCCGACAGTTGACGGCAAGTCCTTTGCAGATGCCCTGCTATCCCGGAATTACGCCACCCCCTGCACCCACCCTCTTTTGCGCCTGCGCAGTCACTGAAATTGCACCTGCACCTGTGCAATCTCTTTCTCCTGAAAGAGATTCCACAGGATTATTCACATCTCACCTCGGATTAATCTCAAAAAGTCCCAGAAACAACCCTCATCCCGCTGATCATTAAATTCCCCCCCAATAACCTCGAAAAAAAAAATGTTTAGTAATAATTTTTCGAATAACTGTAAAATTGTGGGAAGGGTGTTTCCGGTATTTTTAATTTTTCAAAGTCGACAAGGGTTGTTGGTAGAAATTGGGAAGCGAGGACTCGCAGTTCTGGGGTGGTCTCGACGAGAATCTCCCGGAATCGACGGAACCACCCTCGGTTGGCTTGATCCCCTTAACGGGCCGCATCCCGCAACACGACCCTTCGAAACCACCCCTAGGTGCACCGAGAAATCCCTAAACTCGAGTCTGGCCGAAAGCGTAATTGCACCTCCACCCTTCGTCCGTCATTTTCAAGGGTCGAACGGAAACGACGTATCCTCACCTGCGGTCATTTCACCCTTTACCACGTCGGTGCCCTCGACGGGCGACACGCTCTCGCATTATCGGAAACCAATAAATCAATTTCACGGCAAGATTTTTATCTCGGTCCCTTCATCCCGACTCGAAATCCCCGCGTTTCCTTTCGCCCCGCAATTTCCTATTTACCGGGGATTTCCAAATAATAATTCATAATTGTAATAAAAAGAAATCTTCGCCGCTAAGAAATTACTCCCCCCACCTCGATCGCGTAATTTCCTGTTTACCAGAGATTTTCAAACATTAATTCCTGCTTGTAATGAGAAAAAAAAATTAATAATTCGTGAACAATTCTTCTCTCGACCTTTCAGGGTGGCACGTGTACTCGCCGGGGGAGGGAGCGATTTTCCTCCCTCTTCTTCTTTTTCCTTTTTCTAACAAAACCGCAGAGCACGTACTCGTGTAGAAAGGAGAGCTCCCGATGTTTTCAAATTGTTCAAACTCGAGCTACATTCCGATCCAGGGGTCGAGTCAGCTGCACCCCTCGGGGCACCTCCACGGGGGTGGTTTTCAAATTTAGAACCGTTCATGGAAATTTTCTTCGCAATGAGAATTAAATCCCGGAGAATAATAATCGGGGTGAAAGCGTTCGTATAACTTTTTAGGAATAATTTTTTAAGAGGGTTATAAAATCTACTCACGATGTCCTCTATCCTGGAGCAGCCCTCCCTGGCTGTGCAAACAAGGGCGACGATGACACCCCCCGCGAGCATCAGGACGAGGAACACGGCGAGCTTCCAGCCGTGGTCTCTTCTTGGCAGAAGTCTCTTGGCAGATGTCAAATTTGCGACCTCGGCGCCATTGACGCCAAGTCGGGAGGCCTTGAAGAGGACGGTTCGGAGGCGGCGCGAGGCCTTCTCGCAGGCCATCTTCGAGGGGTTGCTCCTCGAGGTGGACCTCGCCTTCACGTGTACATGGTCCATCGGAGACCGACCCAGAGTCCTGGACAAATCTCGAGGACTTCCCTCAGGACCTCCTCGAGTCTCTGGCGAGCGGGAGAGCCATCCCTGGGAGGCGTTCAGGGACTCTTCAGGGCCCCTCCCGAGCCCTGAAGAGGAGGAAGAAGAACTACGGGACTCGCTGCGCAGCCTTCTTCTGGGTGGCTTCTCGAAGAGGGTGGATTTGAGGGTGCCCCGATTCCTGGATTTCAGTTCCATGCGACTGTCGAGGTCAGGAGGGCCATTTTTTGTGTGGTTTAGGTGTTCCTGCAGGATTTCATCAAGGTTCGTCAGGTGTCCAGGATTCTTCAGGGGTCTTAAAGGTTCTTCCGGTATTTTTCAAAGTTCCTCGGCTGGTCTTCAGGTCTTCTTCTACAAATTCAGGTATTCTTCAGGAACGCCTTATCAGTTCCTCAAAAACATTTCGCTCCGTGACTCTCTCCGACCCGTCTCCCGTAGTCATGCAGGCCTCGGGTTCACCTCGATATTTCGATTTTAATTCCACCCTCATTTCCGGGGGTGGAGGGACGGGTCCCCGGAGATGCTCCCCGACTTCGCGGGGTACTTTTTGCGAGATGCGAGGCCGCCCCCGCCCCCTCCTGGGAGGCTCTATCTATTTCCGCTTTCCTACCCTTCTCGGTCCTCGGGAGATGAAGCCTTTTCCAACTTTTATGGGAATCCGGCCGCACCCCGATATCCCTCGTCGAATCGAGGTCGTTATACTTTTATGTCCCTCCCCCGCCAGCACCCCCCGAAGGAGGTCACAGGTCGGAGATGCTCCAAGGGGGGTCAACCAGCCCCTTTGTTTGGATTCGACCCTCCCCTAAACGCGCCTCACCTGCAAGCAGGTGCACCCACGTCCTACGAGGATAATTCAATTGTTTCCGCAACGCGGAAATTTCGCCGCAATGGGGTGACCACCCCTGAAGCCGACCCTAGTCGATCGACTTTCAAAGGGACCGGAAAAAAAAATGATACATGGGGCAGTTCCCCTCACGCAATTTTGACACACACCCCTGTTAGACGCACCAACAAGCCAGTGAACGGCAGGGGGTGGTTTTTATTATTATTTCTTCTTTCTCAGGAAAATCGTCGATTACGCAATTTCGACTTCCATACACCCCTGTTAGACGCACCAACAAGCCAGTGAACGGCAGGGGGTGGTTTTTATTATTATTTCTTCTTTCTCAGGAAAATCGTCGATTACGCAATTTCGACTTCCATACAGTAGGACCGTCTTCGACCTCTTCTTCTAGGCGGGCAATCGCAATCCCACCTCTTCCTCAAGGGGTTGTTTTGCGCCATTAAATGCCACCCTGTCGGCAGACATTTACAGGGGTTGCTTTGACTTTTCCATCCCCGTTTCCGTCTTCATTTTCCACGATAGTCGTCTGTTCAGCTCTCAGGAAAATCCTCGACCCTGGGGAAGGGTTCATCCCTCGACGTCCGATCTCTTCATTTTCCTGCAATCTTCTCGCCACCCCCACTTATAAGAGCCGCCCCTAATCCGGGCGCTCTGAAACAGAGAATAAAAATTGATTAGGGGATGGGGAGGAAGTTTAAAAATCCGCGGGCTCTCCCTTTTCCATCTTTTTGCGCGAACTTTTCCAATTGTCGAGTCATTAGGGGCGGGGGCACCGGGGGAGGGAATTGCAGAGAGTGCATGGACCACCCTGGCGGGGGATAATTTCCTCCCGGAATTGAGGGGATCGCTTCTGGAAAAGGGGTGAATTATTTCGGGTCTTCGCGTGCCGTCATGGGGGGAGGAAGTCGCTTTTAAGTCGGGGAAAATTATGGAATTCGGAAACGGGGATGGGCCGGCCTCGGGCTCTAAATAACTCCCTTATAAATTAAAGAATTATTTTCAACCCTATCTTGACGTAATGACAGATGTGATGCAGAAAATACGGGGGTTGAATAAAAATTTACAAAATAAAGAACACAACGATGTAGAGAAATACTAGAGAATCGACGAGTGAAGCGGAAGAAAATGAACGAGCGACGAGAGGGTAGTACAGAAAATAATGAAAATAAATAAATAAATATATATAAAATATATAAAGTATAAATAATAAAGAGCGCAAAGACGTTGAAATAATAGGAAATCCATGACGAGTCAAGTGGAGGAAACGAACATGAGAGAAGAGGTAGGGAATGGTCGTGACGTATATCGACGAGGTTCGCCTAGGTCAGTCGTCAGGCGTCGAGGCCGCTCTCGAACCGCTCCGTTGCGTGACGACGCATGGCGTCGCGCGGCGACACGTGGCGTCGGATGCGAGACAGGGAGCCGACACTCGAGTAGACGTGACGTCTAGTGGAGCTCCACCTTCGCGGCCCTCCCGGTCGTCTCCGGGATCGATCGGTGGCTCTCGATGACGAGGCCTCCGACGGATCCGATCGACGTCGAGATCGGTCGAGGCCGTCAACCCCCGACGGGCGCTTTATGTCACCCTCCCCCCGGAACCCCCAAGTCGCCTCTTTCCTCGGATTTTAAATCCCCCGATGCGATTCGGCTCGCTCCGAGCCGAGACCTTTCCCGGAGCAAGCCAAGTTGACCTAGGTCAGGGTTCCAATAAAAACGTGAGAATTTACGAAATCCCAGAGTTTTCAGGATTCCTACAATTTTCAGGATATTCTTCCTAGGTGTATTTAGCTTCTCCCTAAAACACACCATTGGAATATTCAACCCCCATACACCGTTAAAGAACCATAGTTACCGGAAAAGCCGCGAGCGCGGTCTGAGCGAGAACCGCGAAGGGGGGGTTCCCATCAAATCGCCGGAAAGCGGGAATAAAAGTTCGATTATCCCTACCTCCCCCCCTCCGAAAACCGCATTTTTCCCGCTAACGAGGAGGCCCCGCGTAAATAACCTGCCGAAGAAAGCCCGCGTTGCGTAAAACTTTCTTAACGAGGGCGGCATTCACCCATATAAGGGCGGCTCTCGAGTTGGCCGGAAGAAAGGACTCGATTTCCCGAAAAAAAAAAAAAACAAGAAAACTGGGGGGCTAGGGGGTGAAATCCCCCCTTCACTTTGTGGGGAAAGTCGATACGCAGGCCGCCGGTCAATTTTCGGTTAATTCGTCGGCCGCGAAGGGTGGGCGTGGATTTTATTAGGAAGTCGGGGACACTTTTTACCCCGCCAAACCTCCCCCCGGAAACGTCACCGACATCCGGCACCCCCTCCGATATATGTCGAGGCTTTCACCCTGGGCTTTCTCTCTCTCCCTTGGGGAGGGGAGAGAGATTTCGGATCGAAAATTGAAAGTCTCTCTTAAGCGGATTGCTCGTCGGCGCGTCCACCCGTGAGTTTCGTCGCCTCGCTTTCGCGCCTTTTCCCTCTCCCTTTATCTCCTCCCCTCGTTCATCCCCTTTCTCTATCTCTCTTTTAGCCCCCCTTCAACCCCCAGGATTTTCCTTTCGGCTCGTTCCGACGTTCATCCAGGATTGCCGGGCTTCCCTTCGCTCCGCCTGACTTTTTACCACCCTCTCTCCCTCCCCCTCTCTCCCTCCGCAGGGAATCTCGATTTAACGAGTCCACCCTCTCCCTCTCTCGCAGTCAGATCCGGGGTGACCTTATACCCCGGCTTATCGACATTGCAGATTCTCGTTAATTTCCCGGGCCGACGGGGACTGCTCGACATTTTTCCGGGCTCGCCCCTCCACCTGGGACGCGAAAAAAAAAAAGAATAATAATAATCCACCCACTTTATGTCAAACACCCAACGGCAGGTGAAGGATATTGAAATTCCCAAAATTTCAGCGCCCCGTGACATACACACCGACGGGGAAACAATATAAAAAAATCCCCCAAATTTAAGTACTCCATCAAATGCACCCCGATAAGTAACAAATAAAAAAAAAAATATTACATCCCCCAAATTTAAGCGCTCCATAAAATGCACATCGGCGGGTAGGATATATAAAAATCTCCCGAAATTAAATACTGCATAAAACACGCTACGATTAGTAAAAAAAAAATATATTAAAACTCCTCAAATTCACGTACTCAACTATCCGCAGTTTCGAAGAATTATTTCTCTCGGGCATTCGCGCCACAAAAATAATGGCTTCTCTCTCACGCATGAAAATAAGGTCCCCTCCCCAAATCGAATCTCCACCTCGAACTCGAATGTAAAGTCGCATCCTCCATATCTCCAGGGTGGACTTCCTGAAGTGGATCCACAGAGGGGAAGGAATCCAGGTTCCCCGCCGCCTGTAAAAATGTCGATTTACAGGAAACCCCGGTACCGTAAATCACGGTGTTGCGAGCGAGCGTACGTATCGATAAATAAAAAGCAGTCGTCGTGACAGGGTGGAGGGTCAATAAATCAGGGGGAGGGGGGGCTTGGGGAAGGGGGCACGAAGCGGGGAAAATAAAGGAGAATTATCGAGGAACGATATAAATCAGGGAAGCTCCGGTGGGTTTTCGAGAGATTCGAGACATATCGTGGTTTACAATGAACGAATGCCGCGCCACGTTGCAAATAAACCGATGGTCGATGATCGAAAATGGGGAGGTTCCCCCCTGAATGCCCCCCCCAAGAAACGCGACACGACTTCTAGGACCCCTTATCTCGACAGATCCTCTATAGTGATTAACCGATCAATCGAACGATCGGATAATTCCGACGAGATTTCCCCGAGGATGGCGCCTCCCCCCATCTTTTCATCCCTCCCCTCCCGGGGAGGGGGGTGGTGGAATTTAAAGAACGACACTTCGCATTCGCAATTTCCTCACCGATCCTCCGGAGCTCTTTAAAGGGCGCTCCGATGACTCGGTGATTTCCGGTCGATCGTATCGATCTCCCCCCGGGAGATAATCGCGAGGGTGGAAACGATGCGACAAGTGCGAGGAGGGGTCTGGGGGAATGGGGGGGGAAGTAGCGGGGTCTCCTTTCACCCGTTTCCTTCTTTTTCCCCGTTTTAGGGCGAGTCCTACGACTCTTTACATCGGGTGCATTAATTTCCTGTCGACCCCCTCCAGGGGGTGGACTGCAGGGGGAGGGCGAGGGTGACATAATTGACCCTTTCTTCGCGACGATGACAGTAAGGGAAGTGACATCGCCTTGATCAGCTGATTGGGATTTCATTCCTTAAGATGTTCCCATGGGATTTTCCAGATCTTTTCATCCCCCTGGGAATTATCGGGGCTGATTTTATGGGTAACGAAACATCAGGAGTCATCTGATATCGATGGATATCCTTTCCGTATGACCATTTTCAATTTTCCTTTCTTCGTTTTCCGAATCGATGCGTATTTCTATTGAAGGAGGGATTTTACTTTACCTAGGGGTTGATTTGTTGATTACATGATTTTAGGGATAATTCCGAAGGAGTGCTTATCACTAATTTTTTTTTCTTCGATTTTTTATACTTTCCGATCGAAACGTCATCTTTTACGGGGGAGGTTTATTGGGGAGTACCTGGGGAGTAAATTAACGTTAACTGCGCCAATTAATTTCTTCGTAGTTAAAATCAGTACCCCGGATCTTTTTACCCTATCTGTCATTGTTATTGGCCGAAGATCGAACGTAATCGAACAATGGATAATAACTGGCGTGGATGCACCGAGTCGCGAGCACCGGAATACGAGTAGTCATTACCTACTCCGCGGAAATGTCGGACTGAATATCGGCCCGTCTACCGTGAAGCTTCGAATCCCTCGTCGTGGAATCCTCGGACGTTCGTTCGTTCGTTTCAGAATTCGAGAGCACTGACCATGAGTAATGGTGACGTCATTGTTATTCCGCCATACGAGCCGCGAGATGAAATTTTTCCTTTTGGAAAACCCCCATCCCGCAGGGTGCGAAATTGCCGGCGAAAATTGAGGTGAAACCAGCAGCGAAATCAACCCCACTCGGGCGTATGGCTCGATTTCAGTCCGCGGGAAAAAAAAGGAATCTTTTTTTGACGCGTTTAAACGGTCGCGACCACCTGCACGGAACGAGTACACCGGAATTAATTGCGACACTTGCAAATCCAGGAATAGGAGCGAGATACCTGGCCGATAATTCCTAATAAATTGTCGCTTTTGTCCACATTGTACATCACTGACGTATAGAGTCTCGGCGCCAAAATGCACTTGACGTGGAACTCTGCCGTGTTTTTGGCTTACAATCGTAGGATACATACTTTTGTCTTCTTTTATCAAAGGGAGAGGGAGAGAGGTTTTTGAAAGGCACTTAAAATCGTGTTCTCCCCCAATCCATGGTGATTTTTGTATGGCTGATAACGCATCTCCTTTATCACCGTTCATCGGGATTCCTAAAAAAAGGGTGGAAAACAATTCACGCCGCTATGCAATTTCCCTCACTTTTTTTTGTTTGCCCTTCCGCACTGTGTTCCACCCCCCAAAATTCCCCCGCAACATAAATCCTCCTCCATCCGGGAAAATCCGATAAAAAGCCCTTTCCAAAAACACTTGCTGGGGGGTTTCAAACCGATTTTCCCCTCCCCGCCCTTCAATCCCTGTGATTTTTGTCCGAGGGATTTTATCACCTCGTTTTTTTTATCATTCCAGGTATGGAGGGGTAGGTCTCCCGGGCGCGGCTTTTCCTCCTCACCTTTTTCCTCGTTCTTCTCGAAGTCGGAGGTTCCTCTCCGCGATGCTGTAGGTTCACTCCGATGAAGCACAGATGCACCTCCAGGGGAAGATTGGTCACGGGCCTCCTCGTGTCAGCTCGACAGGTGTCACAGGACTAACCTGGACCGAACCGATCCGCGTCGTGTCGCGGCGCGGCGCTCACTCGGGAGATGCTGCGGTGCGCCCGCTTATATAGGCCCTACCCCCACCCTAGACTCGGCAGTACGCTTGCGCAGCGAAGTGGACCTCCGACTTCCCTGCCGGTCCTCCGGAGCGCTTAGTCGCCTCGAGCTTACCTGACTCACCTGACCCGGGCACTTGTAAAATTACCGGAAAATTCACCTCCACCGATAAATATTAAGTAAACCCCTAAACTCGATTTCATAATTGAAATTTGGACATTTTTTAACATTCCGACGAAAATTTTGGGCTGCAGAATAGAAGTCACACAATCTCGGTAAAGGGTTTTGCGTGGAATTTTGGATGTCCTTTTTTTATATTTTGGAAACGTGGGTGAGAGAAATCTCTAGTTTAATCGCCTGGATCAACGTGAGAGGTCTTCAGCCCCCCAGGGAGAGTCTGGCCACGACTGGCAGGGGGTGGATCTTCCCCTAATTGATAATTCACCCCAGCTGTCGAACGAGCTTTCCCGGGAACCGGGAGCCGCCTAATTCCTGCATTTCCATGCGAGTCCTTGACCTCCCGAATTCCCGAATTAAATTTCCCTCTCGACCTTCCGGATCCGCCCCGTTTTTACTTCCGCATCGACCTTCGCCGTTCCCGCAATTTCCTCGGAATTATTTCCGGGAATTATTTCCAGAGTCCCTGAGAAAAATCTCTCCAGGACTCAAATGCTGGAAGGAATAATTGTTTTAATTCAGTGCACACCTCTCATTATTCCCAGAACTTCCTTAAATCACTCGAAAAATTGATTTTAAATGTTGCAGGCTTAATTAGAGAGGATCTTTTGGGAAATACCCTTAGAACATTCCTGGAAGGACCCTGGAAATGGTCGAAACCGAGAGATGCACGTTGGGGCGGTTTCATCCCCTGGAACTTCGAGTCCCGCGGGATCCAGGACTACCACGTGACTTCCGGTCCAGGAATCGAACTTTCCTGGTACTTACTCGATTCCCGGAGGACTCGCGTTTATCCTTCCTGAAACGAGCTCGAGTACCAGGCAAAGTTGTCTTCGATTAAATCCTGACAAAGAACAAGGACTTCCTGGAGACCTCGGATCAATTTCCTTCCTGAGTAACGGCGTTAGAAGTCATAGGCCTTATAAATGGCGAGATAAAATTATCCTGGGGATCTAATAAGCCTGGCAGTAAATTCCTTCTCCAGATGTCCTGCGTCATACTGGAAGAATTTACAGAAAGGATATTTTAATTTAATTATGGATATAAAAAATGGTATTCACCTTTGAAACATTTCTGTAAAGTTGCTAGGAATTCCAAAAGTTTCAATATTCAGGTAGTGTTAAAAAAAAAAAATTGGGAGGTGGAATGTCTTTTGTTAATCTTGTTAATTTGGGGGAAATTTGTTAAGCATCCTTTTTTGTCTACTTCGACTAGGAGGAAGGGAGGAACGAGTGATCCAATTGCGGCGACACTCGATGGAAAATAAGGGCGGAAGGGAATTGCGCAGAATTTAAAAGGTCGTCGCAATGCTTGTATTAAAGTAGAAACCTTTACAACAGAATCGAGACGTGCTATTAAAAAATACATTTTCCTATTCGAGCGCGTGTTGGTACTTTTCGGAGGACAATATACACCGCGGAAGTTGGCTGCTATCGAGAGACGCTACGAGGAAATGAATCCTGAACCATAGGGGAATTTATAAAAATTACCCTAACAATATATTAGGTATTTTTTACATAGAATATGAGAGAAAGTAACGTTATTAAATTTTATGAATTATTTCCTCTGAAGGGAGCTCCCTCGCCTTTAAGCACCCTGAGAAACAATATGTCATTGAACCAGAGAAATATATTGTTAATTAGAAAAATAATTACCCGACTCGAATAAATTTCCTGCAACGTTATTTCGAAATTATGAACATTTATTTGAGTCTGATTCAAATAATCATTTCTTTGATTCAACGAATTTTTTTTTTCTCTCAGTGCAAGATCGCAGCCTCGTCTTTGATATATTTATATATATATATATTATTTTCATACAATAAAATGTAAACTCCAGAAGGCGATCGCGTTTCCCTCGACCGGAAGCACGAGACGTTCTCTTTGACTGGTAAAATATTGCAACATTTTCGACTTTCTATCACCGACCTCGAATCCGAGGACTCATAAGTAGCCGTCGGAATGATTTCCTTACAACTACCCCTTAGCACCTTGGCACTTTTCTACGACCCCTCTATAGAATATAAACAATATAAAAAATCCGGCACTAAGCCGAGTTTGATCTTATCCTTAAACAAGGTAAGTATGCACTAATGGCGAGTATCTCCAAGGGTGCTAAAAATTGCATCTTCGATTTTCTCCCAAGTTTCAAGAATTCGTTGGTTCGTGTGACTAATTCGCGAGATGGAGAAATCAAATGGGAATTTTTCGGAAGGGTGGAAACGGACAATAAATTCAGGGAGTCTTGAAAGATCTTCTAGACAACCGAGTAGTTTTCGATCAGAGTCTCCCCGAAGTGCGTGACGACATAGTCATGGTAGTACATCATGATGCAGAGAGGCTGGCCGATGATCAGGCTAGACCACACCACGAGATTGCCAAATCTTGGGCCAAGGTGCTTTTCCGCCATCCTGCTGATTATCGATAGAGGGATCTTGAAGAAAAACGTTCTCCGGATGAATTAAAAATCCCCTATCATTTACGTCTAATTTTATTTATCGAAATGAAGACACAAACCTGCCCCATCATCCCCATGAACGCCCAGATCTTGAACGTCTTCAGGGGGACGCTGACGAGGTACTCGTGGAAGAAGGCGCTGATAAAGAAGACGGTGATGCTAGCGACGTTCCTCCCATAGCCCATTTCCACAATGGGTATATAGAGGTGTCTACAGGTGCACAAAAACAATGTATAAAAATGCTATGATTTAAAAAAAAAAGAAATAGAGAACCATCAATTTTCTGCGTAATTCTTGTTAATTTGAAGGAGTTGAATGGGGAACGCGATGATAAAGGGGTGCAAAGGGTGGAGGATAGGTCAGGCCGCAGACGGGAGGACGAGATGGCTCAGAGACGAAGGACGAGCGCCTTGGGGGCGAGGGTGGCGGATTCAAAGGAGGCAATGCAATCGAGCCACCCCCGGGAGTAGTCCCTTTCCCATTATGGCGGCATTATAAGAGCCTCGGGGAATAAACAGCCTTAAGTGCGGTACCGCGACGCGTATCGGCTTTTCCCATTACAAACCTGAAAAGACGTCGTCCCCGGTTCCACCCTCCCCCGTCGATCCCACCCCCAGTGGAGCCACCCCTTCCCGGATTTTTCCATTTTCGCGTTTCGCGCCTCCCGCGGGGGTGGCTCTGCAACTGGCACGCAGCCATGCAGCTGCAATCGCGGCTGCAGGGGAGACTCCTGAAGGTAAGGGGTGGAGGCCAAAGGGAGGCTCTCCTAAGGGTGAGACATTTGAAACGCGACGATTCTCGATTCTGCCCTCGCACCCCCGCGAACGAACTCAAATTCTTGCAATTTTTCGGGACTAGAAAATTACTGGGGATTTTTCTAACTGGATTTCGAGCTACAACCCCTAAAAGAGAGAGCGATGAATTTAGGGGGAGGGATTTTGGGGGAAAGTGCAGCTGCATTCGTGAGCAGGAATTCAAATTTATATTATTTCACGGGTCATGGAGGTTGTTGGATTTTTTTAGATTCTTGAAAAAAGCATCCCTCTAGAGGGGGTTGAAATGGACGCTCGGACCATAATCTCTAGAAATAAGGCCTCCAGTACTCGGTTAAGTTCCGCGAGTTAAAACAATTACGAGCCAGGCGGACGCGTTTTGCGAGGGAAGTCTCCTTCCCTCCTTTTCCCCCGGGGGGTGGAAACAGGGGGAGGGAGGAGCGATGAGCTTTGGCGAAAAATGTAATTAAATTTCCTTAAACCGAGGACCTCGTTAACGAAGTTTCGGGGGACCGGGGCTGGAGACGGCCGATCAAAGGGAGGTTTTTGCCGGACGTAGGGGTGGGAAAAAGTCCACCTCCCTTTTCTGGATTTCGAGAGGAAAATCCGAGCGAAGATCCTCGAGCCACTTCGTTTCCGACAGTGGAGGTGGAATCGAAGGATCAATAAGCCCCGATCAAGGGTTTCGGAGGTTCTTTCTCCTCTTTTTTGAAAATTCGTCAGCGTGTCTTCCCGGCAGATCGAGATTTTCCAGGTAAAGCACCTGGAAAATCACCTGGAGATTCAGGGAAAATTGGCGCCAGGATTGGTCCTCGAATCTCGGGGGTGAGAAATTGCACCGATCCTCGATAAGAGGGTCATAAACGAGGGTTTCCCTCGTCCCTCGGAAATTTTCACATTCAATTAGACCTGAATTTTTTTTTCAAAACTTACCTGAGAGCCCATCTGTGCACCGGCATATTCCAGCTTCTCCAGAAAATGTCGATGTTGTTCGCGTTCCACCAGTCGCTGTAGAAGTTCCGGTCGGCAAAGTGCAAAAGCTCTCCCATCAGGTTCAGGTAAGAGTGGAAGGACAGGTAGAAGAAGCACAGCCAGACCAGGTGATTAGGTATCTTGATAAACGATAAAAAGTGAAATTAAAAAAAAAAGAAAAGAAGTAACCTTTCCCTCGACTTAAGCGACAGAATTCTTTCAGAAGTCTCTGAAAATATCTTATTCATAAATTGGATTATTAAAATCAGAGGGAAAATCTCAGGTTAAAATAATGTTTCCTAGAAATTAATAAGCGCCAAGTGTCCTAAGTTTTTTTGCAGTTATTTTTATATGGAGTAAAGTGTCGATAACTTTCGGGAAAGAGGAGATATCAAAGGTGTCTAAATTTATGGGTTTCAGGAAAAATAAGGGTTGTCGCAGGGTGAGGTGCGGATTTTTCGCCGGTTTTATCCAGCGAGGTGTTAAATGTACAAATGTTGTTACAAGCAGTTAAATAAGCCCGACTATTAAGTACGCGAGTACTAATGGCCTTTTATGGGGGAGTTTAAGCGAGTATTAGGTTAACTTTACGGCTCGAACGCAACTGGTGGAGGAAAATCCGCGCCCTGCGGGGGGTGGTTTTTCGGGCGGGCGCGAGAGGGTTGAACTTTCCGGGGGTTTCGTTAACGAGCATGTAAATGTCCCTCGACGGGTCGTTCGCGACAATTTCGCGAGTTGGGCCCTTTTACGGGATGAGGGCGACCACCCCCTGGGGCCCGCCACCCTTTAATTTTCCCCCACTCGCCGGAATTCGGGAGTTATTTCAATTCCGTTCAGGAATCGGGGATGCAACCCCCGTTTAACCCCCATCTAAACTCGGCTTACCCCCGTTGACCTCCCCTAGATCATCCCCTAACCCCTGCAAAAGACTTAATAACGCAGCTCGACACAAAGCCGCGGTCAAAGCCTCGGCCAAACTTTTCCACCCCCGCAAACTTGGCTCGATCTTTTAATTCTGTTTTCATCCCCCAATCTCGCTACGAGGACTGCAAACGGAACGCGAGGAACGCTCCCCAAAGGACGAACTGTCCTTTGAGTCCTCCGGAGAGACTTCCGGGACGACCAACAGGAGACACCCCTGTCGAACATCCCCCGAAGGGGTAGCAACCCCCACACCATGTCTCCGGTTTCTGCCTCTCTACTTACGACTGTCGCCGACCTCCTTAGGACTCTCTTTTATCCTTTTCTCCCCTTTCAACCCTTATCTTTGTACATTCTTGAATCCTAGATAACTCTAACTTTTCTCGCTCAATTTTTTTCGTAGTCTTAATTCCGCCTCTCTGTTCATCTTTTCATTTTATCCTTTTCTTCCCTTCCAACCCTTATTATTGTACTTTTCTTTTCATCCCAAAATGACTCCGGAACTGTTATCTCATTTTCCTGATTTTTTTATCAGCTCGTGATGGGGTTCGACCAATGACGGCCCCTGAGGTCTCTTTTCACGTTTTCTTTTTTTCTTTCGCTGAAAGGGGAAAATCAGGGAAAATTTCGGATTGCTACCCCTGGACGTACGTAAAAGCTCCAGAAATCGCGGAGGCTCGAAGAAAGGGTGCCTATCGATTGTGTCCGCTTTTCTCGGAAACGTATTTACGTCGGGCGCCCGGAAGTTCCACTTAGTATCGACACGCGTCCACGACTACGACTATGGCCGTGGTACTAGTCGCCGTTAATGTACTATTCATCGGTTCCAGTGAACCTGCATCGTTAAAAACATTCGACCACCCTCTATGCAGAAATCACTTCCCGGAATTGATTTCACTCCGTTCGCCTCTAGCAATTTGCAATTAAATCCCACTCCAAATCTCATCATTTATTTTATATCCTCTACATCATATTCTCCATACCGCCCTTTTACAGCATTTTCCAAAATATCTGTCAAAAAATCAGGGAAACCATTTCCTAATCAATTATCATTTCGCGGATGCCTCAAAACTGTCCAAATAGTGAGTCAAAAAATTCAAGGCGAACAAACAGTCGATAATAATGCCCTGGATTAATTGGCGTTAAATTCCATTTCTAAATGTCGCTACTTATTTTATGTGTTCCGTATTAGTATAAAGAAGTATCCCAGAAGAAGAATTTTCTAGCAGATTTTCTTTTCACCATTTCGCGTGGTCCAAACAGGGAATAAAAAAAAAGTGAGAGGGGGGTGAAAATTGATGCCGGGTCGGATATTGGACATTAAATTTTTCGGAGTTCTCGGAAAGGTCGGAGCATCGATTTCGGTTCGGTTTCATCGTCGACGGGATGTCGATTCTAATAACTGCCCCGTGTTAATTAGCGCGATCCCGGACAGGTGGAACGGCGCGAATTGATGCTCGGTCACGGGGCGATGCCTCTGTCTTTTGATACATAAATGATCAGGACATGTCGAAGGGTGGCTCGTTATCGGCAGCCCCCCAGGGATGGGAGTTTGGAGTTCGATTCGAAACCGGTCGGCCCTTTGACAATTAAGGCGAGGGCTTCTGGGGAAAAGTCCGCCCCGGTGGCGCCTCCACCTCCAATTTCGCGTTTAATTTCGTCCGTGTCCCTGTAAAAAATTCCCAAATCACAGGCGACCTGGATCAGCCTCTGGCGAGGGAAATTTCGTGACTGAAACTTCGCCGCGGGATTTTCCCTCCCGAAGGAAAATATTTTTCCTCTTTTTTCTTTTCTTTTTTCTAGAAGTGATCCGAATTCGATCAACCCTGTAAAAATGGCGGAGTGGAAAACCGCTCGCGGGGCGAAATTCGTCGAGGCAAGTTCATCGAAGTTTATGAGCTCGAGATGGCAAATATTGTTTCTCCTGGACCAAAGATGGCGACCGGAACAAAGGCGGGTGGTTCAGGGGTTAAGGTAAGCTCGGGAAAAGGAGAAAACTCACCGCCAGCTTCAGGAGACGCTCCGAGGCCTTGGCGACGTCCATGTTCTGCAACGCAAACGAGAACGAGAAATTATTAATACTGGGGGTAAATACGCCGAGGGGGTGGAGGGATGGAAAAAGAGACGACGATCTCTAGCGAGGGGTTTTAATAATCGGGAACAAGGGGTAGGAAATTTTTGCAAGCACCCCTTATTGTTAGTATTTCCTAGTAATTCTTAAGGGAGGAAAGTGCCCTTCCAATCCATCGAGTTGCTGGAAAAAAAAAAATCAATGTCGTGTATTTCATACGTATAACATATGTATGTAAAATATATACGTATATATATATTATATACATTTTCACCCCCGACTCTCAGGGACCCTAGGGACTGTGTCCGATTTTCTCCGGAACGATCTTCTGGGAAATGCATCGAGATATAATTTTCCCAAGGAGGTCGGGGGCGGATGCACCCCCCGGGGAAAAAACTCTCGAATGAATATTCTAAACGAGAGGTACGATGGAAGATAAGCTCCTGTGTCAAAGTCGACCCAGATACCTCGCAAGGAAATCGCCTTACGAAATCAGGGGGTGCAACTTGACCGAGCCCCTTCATTCCCCGATGCACTTGGACCACTCGAGGGGTGCTCCCGAGGGAATTGACATTTCCGAGCGAGTCATCCTTCAATTGGCAGAAGAGATTCGCCCCCTCTTGGGGGTGGGAGTCTTCGAGAGGTAAAATAAGACGGCTTGTAAATACCTGGACCGCGTGTCTTGTCGAGCTATTTACGATTCACTGACAAGAACCACCCCCTTAAGTCTACGTTCCATTAAATCAACTAAAACAACTCTCCATTAATAATTTTAAAAAATATTTCGATTTGAAGTTCAAGTAAAATTATTTTAAAAAGTGCCTTTTTGTAGAAAATGTTTAATGGGGGAATCGAGTAACTCGTAAGAAATTATGTAAAAAACATGCCTTCTCTGAAATAATTCTGGGGGTGATTTTTAAGCGGAGGATGAGTTAGTTGGTGCTTTATGAATTTTTCTGGAATTTCTAGAGGGAAATTGTGTAAGGCGTGTAGGGTGTCTTTAGCTTCCTGTAAGGAGAGACTGATTAGGGGTGGAAACCACCCCGAAGATGACCTGCTCGCTTGTCGAGGGATGCAACCTCTGCACTCTGAGCGTTGACATGTCGAGATTACGAGGTTTCTTGGACGAGGGGTTGCCTCTCGTGTGTATTATACACGTCTATATTCCCTGGAAGATCGCAGGGGTTGGTATCCACCCCAGTGCTTGCGTAGCTCCTTAAGGTCTTCCATCATCGCATTCAAAGGGTAGCAGCTCTTTTGCTTCTCTGACCCCTCACCCCTCTGGAGGTAAGAAATTTCGCAACCCCACCTGGAAGACCCCAGAAAATCGAGAATCACAGGGGGTGGATTCCTCCCCCGGCGCCGGGAAACGTGTGAACGAACTCGGGTTCCCCTTTGTTTTTTAATAATTAATTCCGGAAAGAGACCGGAGGGCTGAAAAGAGTTGAGAGAGGGCCGGCTGGCCGCCACCCCCTCAAAGGGGGTCGGAAGCCTTACGGAGCACAAAGGGTTATAATAAGTCGACGATGAAAGGAAGGGAGGCTTCCGTAATTCGATCGATCGAGGAGACCCTCGGATGGCAATCCGTGAGAAGAAAAATCGACCTTTGACGGTCGAGGGTTCTAAAGAGGGGTGGCGATTTTTCAAGCCTCGACGCTTCGGCAAAAGTAAAAATCTCAAAAAATTCCTAGAAATTTCTAAAATCGTAACGAATGATCCAACGTCGATAACCACCCCTTTGGAGATGGGAAGTCGACATATTTGCAGGTTTGAGGATTTCCAGGATTTTATTTCAAGTAGGGGTAGTTTCGTCCAAGGAGGGCTCGAAGGAAGGCTGCCGAATCGCAGCTTGCGCGAAAGGGTTGCAGGGTGCGACAAGGTAAATAAAATTAAAGGGCACTCAGCGGGGCTTTAAGCGTTTCGTTCCGGGGGTTGAAAACCAGGGGTAGTTTTTATTCAGTTTCGCCAACGGCGGGAAAGCTTCGGGTCGCGCCAGAGGAGGAATGAAAACCTGAAAACCGAGGGCGGCCACCACCTACGAGGGTAATAACGAGGGGGTTGCTCTCTTATTCAACCCCTAGGAGATGTCCCACCCCCTCGCGTTTATAACGCGGAACTCTCTCGTCGTTACTTTTATGAACTTGAAACTTCTGCGACTCCCCTCGAACCGTTCGCAGGGGTTGTTTCATTAGTCTCGCTCGGATAGAAAATGATGAAAAAAAAATTGCGGGGGGTGGTGCCACCCCCTGGGGTCTCGGAACTTCTAGAATTGTTCCGCCCCTCGGATACTCCTTCGGGATCGTCAAGACGACCGGAACCAATATAGATTTTCCTCCCCGAGTGTTCGCCTCCTCTGCTCAAAGAACAACCCCTAGAAACGGTGGGGTGGAAAAAGGAAAAAGGCGAGGAAATTCTCCGAAAGTCGCGGTTAAAAAATTCCATCGTTTTTCTCCTCAAAGGAAAATCGTCTTCTTGGAACCAACCCCTTTTGCCGCATCCCGGGAAACGCTGTTGCGGAAGTTCCGCAGCGAGTTACCCTCCATACTCCAAGGGAATCGAATGGAACCTCGGAGTAAAGACGAGGTCCTTCGCAACCCCCTTGATAATCGAAGGGTTGGGGGTTGTGGAACTTTCGTGGCGAACTCGCGATTAGGCAGCTCGACCCAGATTATTAAGCGCTTCCACCCTGGTGAATCCGTATTGGATCGACTCGAGGGTCGAGATGGGATCGTCAGGGGGTGTAAACCATCTATGGGGGTGGTTGGCACCCCCCAGTTCCTCCGCTTGATTCTAACTCACGGACAAATTGCTCTGCAAATCGCTCTTACGGTGTATATGAAATGTACATACATCTACGATACGTATATTACACATATTTGTGTTTTATATATTTTATATATTTAATACACATTCAATATTTGGGACAGTTCGTGAAATGCCTAAATGATATGAATATTAGACTCAAGAAAGAGATTATTAAGAGATTATTGTCATAAAAGAAAGGCTCACTAAATTAATGAAGAAAGTGCCATTTTTATGGTTATTTCGTTGTATTAAAAACACTGTCCCAGAATATATGAGCGATCCGATAGGAATATATCAACAGAGCGGTAAGCAATTTTTGGAAACTCGGTAAGTGACGTTGAAAATATAAATTGACGGAAAAAAAAAATGTAAACGGGTTGTTATAATTGGATGGCGGCCGATTATTCCCGGGATTTCGATTTTTCCTTTCCAGGGCGAAAAGGGACAATCGAGGAGGATTAAATCAAGCCAAAGGGAGCCGGACATGGAAAGAGTTATGATAATTGGCCGGCGTCGGGGCGACAATAATTTTTGCGAATTCCCCGGACGTCGATCGCCGCCGAGGGCTCTTCACGGATCGATTGTCCGGAATCGACATATTGCCGATCGGAAAAATAATTGGCCCAGGGCGTGAGCTGGTTAATTAATGGACTCCCTTGGCCGATTAATTGGATTCGATAATTGGCCGGCTCGCGGGCGGCCTCGTCGGGAAATCCTCAAATTGGGAGCGTTTTTTACAGGGATATCAAATGGGAAGCCAAACTGTCGGAGGACTTTCCTTGTCGCTCCACTTTTCCCTTCTTTGGGGATAAAGCCACGCCGAATGCCTTTGAATCCCGGCGCGACACTTTTCGCCCCCAAAACGTGAACGGAGTCAAAGGTGAAAATTCCATTGACTCCGCAATCGCTCTCCGACCAGAATTTCAAAGCTCGGTCATTAGTCCGCCAAAGGAACGAAACTGAAAGGAAGACTGACAATGAATTAAAATCCTACACGGCACATTTTTCATTCAACTCCGTAATCGTTTATGACAAGTCGGCGATAAGGAACTCACGCTGAATGGTATCAAGGAGTTCTTCACGGAGGGGATCATCCATTGTTGGAAGAGAGACATGACCACTTGACACCCGACCACGACTTCCAAAATTCGCTTTATCAGGAACCTGAAACAGATTGGAGTGATTACAATAATGATAAGAGCCGCACCAGCTGCTCTTCCCAAGGATCGGGAAAATAATTCGGGTATTCCGGAAGCTCGGCGAGCCGGAAGCGAAAAACCGGCTTACCCGTGCAACTTCCGCGACAACGATTCCGCGCGATAGCCCGAAATGCAAGGATTCGGATTATCGCGCCCGGATTCCCCTTAGGGGCTCTTTTTTATCCCCCCCTTCCCGGGGGGTGCGAAAATGTAAAAAAAGAGACGTCTTCCGGCGAGAGCGCGCCGCTCGTTATCGCCGGAAAAAGGGAGCCGAAAACTCGGTCGCGCTGTCGCGTCGCGCCGGGAATTACTTACCACCCCTGGGGGTGGGAACTACCCCTAATCGGCGAGCCGAGAGATCGGACTAAGTGTCATCGCGATTGTAATCGCGGAAAGTGACGGCCCGACTCGACGACGAAACCCCCTGAAGGGGTTGGACGGTGTTTTTATTTTTTTCCTTCTATTTCTCTAATTTCATCTCCAGGAGAAATTCTTTTGTTTCCCTGTTATTTCATCTCTCTTCGCGTTTCCAGGATTGGGGTCCTGTTTTGAGTTTTGTGCAATTTTCTCTTTTTTCTTTTTTTTTTTTTTGGACACTTCTTCGACTTGCGATTCTGCCTCGATTTTTGTGGACGCTTTCTCTCCTCTCGAGGGAGATCGAGAGGAGACATGGAGTGGTCCAGGACGAGATGCTGTACCTTTTTCGGATCCTCTGCGTCCTGGGGAAATTCAGCTCGTAACAGAGGGTCGGAGCCAGGATGAAGTAGTAAAGGTCTCGAAGGTTTAGGTTGTTCGGGTACTGGACAAGGTTCGTCCTGCCATCGCTCTCGTCCTTCTCGACCTGGCGCTCGTTCTGCTTCTTCGCGGCCGCGGCTGAAAATTCAATTTATTATTAAATCTGTCAAACCATGAGAACATTCCCCGAGCCGAGCTCGCTATTTATCGAATTTAATCCGCCGCGGTATTTGACAGATTTAATTCGTCCCCGCGTTTCGATTTAATTCACCCTATTTGTTTGGAATTTAATTTAACGCAATATTTCGCCGATGCACGGCTTAACCGTTAAATAAATCCCAGGACGAAAGGATCTCCGGGAAAATGTGTCGAAGGCGGGAAACGAAGGGTTCCGAATTGTGCGATATTTCTCGGGAATAATAAAAAGGATGAAAAAAAAATACGGGAAAATAGGAAATCCAATCTGGACTCGAAATAAGCTCATCGTCGCGAGTCGACACTCCGCCATTGACGTCGATTTCTCGAATCGAACCCCTCGCCGACTCTAACGATCAACTCCAGGGTCGTCCCACCTCTTCGATTCTCCGATTCCTCGACTCGATGGTGTAATAAGGCCGAAGAATCTCTCCAAATGAAATTCCCGGAGAATTTTCCAGCCCCTAGGAAATGACGCGTTAAGGCACCTGACTCGAAGCACCGGAAGTGCGAGATGAGCCCGGCTGGACTTTATTGCCAGGAATTGGAGACAAGGTGTGCTTCATCAGGGTCGAAAATTAAAAGAAAAAGAAAAAAGAAACATCTTGGGAAGAAGCCATCAAAGTTACCTCGCATAACCAAAAATTATTCTTGAATTAATCCATTGGGTAAATATATTAATAATAATTAATCACGAGGATTTAGCTGGTTTAAGGCGAATCGGAGAATGGCGTATGTTTCTTTCGAAGTGAAAAATCAGGGAAAATATTGGGATAGCCAAGTTCCATTGCTGGGAAGGCCGAAATTCATTGCTTTCGATGCTTTGAGGGAAACTTGGATCGACTCGGCGGTAAAACGAGTTTGAGTTACCTCAAGAACTGGGGAGAGGAAGGGGACCAGCTTAAGCTTCGCCGATTCTTTAGAAACCCGGCTTGAATGGTCCAAGTTCGGCTGGACGAGAGAGATCGAAGGAAAACCGAAGGTCTTAGCGCGACTGATTCAAAAGTTACGGCACAGGGAAAGCCGGAGAAGAGCTTGCGTTACACCGGAAAAATACGACGAGGGCAGGATCCCGAAATTCGAGAGGCTCGATCAGAAGAGACTTCCCTGAATCGAAAAAAAAAAAAGATCTCCTCAGCAAAAAAAACAAAATCAATAAATAAAGACAAGATACAAAAAAGTCCATACCACCGAGGGAATTTTTAAAACTTCGATGGAGGCTAAAGAAACAACCGCCCAAGGAATCTTCATAATTTTTACGGAGAATCAGAAAAGAAAAAAAAAAATGTGCAAAGTCCGGAGAAATTCTTAAGGCGTTCAACAATAAGAAATGGCGAGTTCCGAACCACCCAAGGAAATTTCGAATTTTTCCGGAGGGTCATAGAAAAGTGTGCAGTCCAGAGAAATTCTTAAGGTGTTCGAAAAAGAAAGAAAACTGGCTAGTTTCGAACCACCCAAGGAACTTTCCGAATTTTTCCGGAGGGTCAGAGAAAAAAAAAATTGCAAAGTCCAGAGGAATTTTTATGGCGTTTAGAAGGGAAGGAAAGAAATTGCGCGAACCGCCGAGGGAAAGAACAGGGGCTTAATTTGCTAGCCCTCCTCTCCCCTTTTGCATAGAGGTCGGTCCCTCTTCTTCGCACTTCCTTTGTCGCCGGCTTGTTCCTAGCCGGCCCTTCTTGGAGCTTGCTCCGAGATATATGACCCCGAGGAGCCTAAGTGCCGAGGTATCTCCTGGCACAAAGGCGGAATTACCTGGCCGGGCGTGATTGAAAAAAGGAAGTCTAATCGTTACACCGAGGAGAGGAGTCCGCGTCCTTTCTTCCGGGTCACCCTGGGAGATCGGATCCTCTCCTGGGATTTTCCCGGTGATTCCTCACCTCGCAGCATCCCTCCTCAGGGGGTGTCACCGGGACCCCACCCTATCATCTTCCCGGCATCCCTATCGCCCCTCCCAGCATCCCTCCACGTCATTTATATTTTTCCCGGAATTCAATTAAATCAAGTACACCACTCTTGGTTACGAAAAGGTCTCAAGGCGAGATAAATTCGGCAAATATATTTCCTAGGCAAATTTCGGCGTTATTTATGGCCAGGGGGAGCACGCGAGGGGCGCGACTCGTGATAGGATGCAATTCTCGCCGCGGAGGGAGAAATGGGGTGTCGGTAATCGCGGGGAGGGTTCTCACGTGTCCGGGCAATTTGACGGAATCGACTGGCAGTCGTTAAGCCGGCGTGCCGAGGAAAGGCTGAGGGCGAGTTTCCATGATTTGACACGGCTAAGAGCCCAGGGACGTTTTCAGAAAACCCATCGCGCCCGCGAATGGCGACTAGACACGCGACCGGCTCTTCCTGCCTCAGGACTCGACCTTACTTCTGACTTGCCTCATTTCAGCCTCGAAATTGACCTTAATACCGCCTCTCCAAGAAAAGGATACAGGGAAGCACTATAAAAAAAAATTGAAAATGACTCAGGATTTTAAGAGGAATTTTTCAACCTCCGAAATACGGGAGAACGCACAAAAAAGAATTGGAAGAAAAGTTCAGGATTTTCGGGGGGATTCTTCCGCCGTGTGAAAAGTATGAGATTTTGTCAAAAGAAAGAAAGAAAATTCACTAGCGTTATCTCTGACCGAAAATAGGCCTTAACGTCGTCTTTTCGCGGGAATCCAGAGAATGCACAATAAAAAAAATGGGAAAAATTTTGAGGAATTTCGGGGGAATTTTTCCACCACCGGAAATACGTGGGGATTGGGGAAAAATAATTCACTACCAAGGATTCTTATTCCTGGGGGAATATTTCACGGGGAAAGGAGCCGGGACTTATTCGAGGGGCGACCGAGCGATTTCGCGCGAAAGCCCCTCTCATGCGTGTACCGCATGTACGATATGTACGACATACAGAATATGTAGAATATGTAGATACGCGGAGAGCGGCATGTATCGCGCGGAAATATACGAGGCCGGACGGCGCGCTTGTCGAGGGTTAATATTCAGAACGGCGAGTTTATTGGGAAGGCCGATCGTAATTTGACTTTGGCCGACCGGTCTGAATAATCGATCGGGTCCCTCCTGGGGGGCTGCTTTCGGAAATTGACGAAAAGAGGCCCGACTGCGACGCCAAATTGCCTGGGAATTATTCCCATAACCTGAGACCACCCAACAAAACCCTGGGAGAGAATTCATCTGAAAAGAAGTCTCCTCAAAAATCCCGGGAACACCTTGAAACTTCTGCTTACCAAAAATAAATAAAGTAATGAAAACGATGAGGATTTTTATCAATTCTTCGGTATATTCTTCCCTTATTATCGAGTAAGTCGGTGCTGGAAGAAAAATCAGTCTCTCCAAGATGGTGAGAAAAATCATGGATACGCTCTGAAATGTCCACTTAAGGATAGATTAACTGATGAATTTCTTTTATTATTCTTCCTTGTTATCGACGAGATTGTTGATATGGTCTATCATCGAGAAAGGCCTGGGATGACAATCCTGGGAAGAGGTCAAGGCAGCAAGTCGCGGGAACGGCTTTAGTGTTGAATAAAATTTTAATAAAAGGATGGGGAATATTGCAAATTTTTTGCTCCTTGTTAGGGAATTGTTCTTTTTTAGGTACCCACCCTGCAGGGAATTACAGGAGAGGGACTGCCTCCGCATCCTCCCCTGGTTCTCGCACTTGGTCCTGGTGCTCAGCCTGCACCACATGTTCACCTGGACGTAAGACCAGAGCTTCAGGAACAACATGGCGTACAGCATGCAGACGTACATCGCTCCAACTGCAACACCGTCGAATTATTAGACTCTTATTAAACTCTGAATTATACCGCTCGTTTTCCGGGAATTTCATTTCGAACCCTTTTCCCAGCTCGCTCCATTTTCCTCGGCTCGGAATACGCTGAGAAAAATGTCCCCCTCCTTCGTCGGCCCTCGAAGCGCGCAGAAATGCTTCGAGGTAATTCGTTTTCGAAAAAGTTCGCCACCCCTTTCGCGTTTCCCCCGAAATTAAATATCTCCTTTATATGATAACGTCGGGTTAATTAGGCATTCATGGCGCTGGATGGGCGGCATACGTCAAAGGATTATTGCGAAATTAAATATATACAACCCCCTTCGATAGTTTAAACATCGGCCAATTGCTTTTATAAATGCGGTATTTACCAGTGCTAGTACAAATTGGGCAGGGCGAGGAATTTTTTAATTAAAATAGCAATAATACCAGCATTGAAATTCCCGGGGCCGGGATCGAGTTTAAATTGCCACTCGCGACAAGTCTCGAAAATGATTGCGGAGGTGTAATCATTGACGAAGGGCCATTATTATCTCGGATTTCGGCCCTTTTTCCCTATTTTTCCCTTCCCTTTTTCCCGAAACAATTCCGGGGATCCTCGGATGCCATTTGCAATCGGCGAGAATAATTACGCCCTAAAACCTAGGCCGCTGCAATTTGCGGGAATTTCGCAGAACGCACTTCCGGCCTGATTATTGGATGAAATATTTTCCCAGGTATCTTGACGGGGACGTTCTAAACATTTCTTTTTTACGGCAGGGTCGCGTAGGGTGGCCAGGGAATCAATTCGGGAAATAATTGCGGAACGCGCGATCGCGATTCCGCGGGGTCCGTCCTCGCGAATCATTATTTCGGCTCGCGGCTTTGTAAAAAATAATCCCGGGGACGTCGATGCATATCGACATGCTCGCGAAATGCACTTTCCGGGGGAATAATTATTCCCGAATAAAGGTGCACTCCTAGGGCCGACCTCTCTTGCTTCGTCTCGCTTCTGACAATTTATTTTAACGAGCTTGCCGCACCTTCTGATACGTGGTATCGCTTAACCGAGATCGAAACCCCTCGTGGCAATCTTCCCGGAAAGACTTCCGACTTCTCTCGATTTTCCCGATGCACAAAGACGTCTCCCATTGCCGGCAAAAAATTGACAAACCTCTCTGTGGGCCTTGCTGGATTTTTTTCCCCATTTCTTCTTTTTTCTTTCCCTTCAAATTTATTCCCGATTTCTGCGATATTTCTCTCCCAGTATGCGCGGAAAATTTATTTCCAACCGTAACAAGAAATTTTACTCGCCTCGAGAAATGATGGTAAGTAGACCAGCAACATTTTTTCATTGTATTAACAACAAATAAATTCCTTCCCTGGGGTAATAGAAATTCTATTGGTGGTCGTAATATTTTTGACTGGTGATTTAAATTATGTATCGACCAGTCGATCGGCTATAAATATTTTTGCTGTTGGTGGAATTATTCCCGCAGTGAGAAGGAAATTTTATCAGCGGTGATTTCCTTTGTTTAAAGTGCATGTGTCATTTTTTTTTCGCCTATTATCGGACTTTCCGTTGCGATCGTTGCATCGCCATTCGAGGCGATTCCTCGGGCGATTCCATTATTTCGGAGAAACGCATCGCCGATGCGATTCCGGCCACGCTTTGTACAGTGACAATGCCGCGTTTCTTCCAACACAAGGAAATGGTACCGTGTTAACCGCGGTGGCGTTGCGGAATTCTTCGTATCTTAATTAAATCGCGGCCCTCGATTTTCTCTAGAGAGGGGAGAACGTCCCGAAATTCCAAGACGTGGTGCACCTGCAGCTGCATAATTCCTCCCTTCCGTTGCCCCTTTTATTTCCCCATTGTGCCGCGAAAATACGCACCGGACGGAACAATCGGCCCTCACTTCCGCAAGCGGAAGGAGGGCCTCATTTTCCCATTGTATCGCAGAGCTTAACGTGTAAACGAAGACCCCCGGTGGGACCATTCATCGCGATTCCGCAGCGGATCGCGAGAGAAACCGGCGGGAAAATTCGATCCGATTTAAAAATCGATCCGTTTCGGAAGTGCGATATTTTTTCGATCGACAGTTGCAGCCCGAATGAAAAAAAAGAGCCCGATGAAAATCATAAAAGAGATTAATTTAGGGTGCGATAAAAAATTCAGGCAGATCGGCGAGACGAAATGGAAAATTCGAAAATCATTTCAGTCAAGCTCGATAAGAAAAACGTAGATATATCCTGAAAAAAGGAACAAAACGAACGGGAGAATTATTTTGTTAACACGAATAACAATGATTTGACTTAAAATTCCTTGAATTAAAAATATATTACTTCGGGGCCATTCAAAGAAATAATTCACAGGTTGAATGAAATCTTCGTCTCGGGGTACAGAGTGCCGTAAATATGGAAACGGGGAGGAAAATCGAGAAAAAATTATTAGAAAAGAGCCGTGTCCCAAGATATTTTCCGCAATTCTATAGGTGTCGATAGAGCTCGAGTTTGAACTCGAATTTGGGACAGGGAGATTTGCGAGGTTCGATAAAAAGGACAGAGGACGTCGAGGGGGGTCGAGATTCGGCAATTCCTTCCTTGGCGGAAAATCTGCAGGGAAATTCGGGGACTCGAACCGTCCGTCATGATATCGAAGCTTTATCCTCGGCTGGCCGTAAACCATCTTTCGGTTTCGCCGATCTCGGGATCCGGTGCACCCGGTGCATCCGGTGCATCCGCCGGTCCGGCGAGTTTCCGGGGGCGGAAGAACCCCGAGAAGAAACCCGCGTCTTCTCGACCCACCCTCCGAATGTCCGATCCTCCTGGGGGAGGCCACCCTTTCCTCCTTCCTGATCGAAAACTATGAAAGAACTTCCCCTCGGCCATGTTTTATCGATGGCTCTCGCGCTTTATGGAGTCCGCGCATTGTATCGCGAGTAGGGGACGCGGGGTCGGTTTCAGCGTGAAATAGTTTCGCAATTTTCACCCTCGGAGGGATTGCTAGTTCGCCTCGAACTATTGTCGCCTTCCTGGGAAAAGCGACGAACGGGGGAGAGACGAACCCTCTTCGCCCCCCGCGATCCATTTTCGATCTAAGGATGCGACTATTTGAAATACGACGCGTCTCGCTTCCCATCAGAGTTGGGTGATATCCAGGACCTTCGAATATATATATTTTTTTTTATCAAGAGAAAGTTGGCGCCTCGACGCCTTCCTGGAAGTTTTCTCGATAAGAACGCCGACTGATTATTTTGCCCCCCTTGAACATCCCCTCGAACAAGTCAGGAGACGCAATTTTCGATTTTCCAGGGATTGCCAGTTATTCGACGTGTTGGATGATATCCAAGATCTCCTAAATATTTTTTTACTAAAAAAAATAAAAAAACTGACGCCCGGTGCATTTCTGAAAATTCCTTGGGCACCTCCTTAATCGAGTTAGAGAGCACAGGATCGATTTCGGCATGAAATAAACGTCCACTTACTTCCACTTCCGCATACTTTTTCCAGGAATTTGACGCCTCCTCACATGAATCGAATGGACATCCAGTACTTCCGGGATATTTTTCCAGGGATTTTGCGCCTCGCCTTTCCTAAAATTCCCTTCCCAAGAACCCCGAATGACATCCATCACCGTCGAAAAATTTTTCCAGGAATCGTGCGCCCCCCATTCCGAAAATTCCCTCGACAAGCCCGCCGACTGATTACTTCCGCGCCCTTAAGCCCTCCTCCGATTTCCCCCAGAGGGAAATCGCGGTGTTTTTCCCTCGGCTCCGGGCTTATTAATTAAAACTTTTCTCGCGTGTCCGGAAAAAGGGGTGTTTCCTTCGAGGGATTACCTGGGCAAAGTTTTCCCGGTCTGTCCCGTCTGGCCTCGTTAATCCTCGGCGTATCTCCCGATGCTACTCCTGTCTGCCGATAAGGTGATAATCGCGGGCCGAGGGTTTAGTAATTGCAGACACGACACCTCGCGACAACGCGAAACGGATTTCCTGGCAGATTACGCCGGTCGATGGGAACATCCCCCCGTGATTTCTTTATTACAGATTCCAGGTCGGTCTCGAGCCGCGCACTCGCTCGAGTGGCCGCCAATCAGCTGGTGGATTACGTCAATATTTGCCGCTCGAAATTACACTCGGCAATTGCAGCCCTCCCCCCGACCGATTGGCAACCCCTCGCCCCCGACTGGCGATTCAGGAGAGGCTTAATAACGGGGAAAAGTGATGCCTCTGTCTACCTCGAGGTCCCCTCGGGCTTTTACGACCCTCCACCTCGCGGAAAATCGGGGCACCAAATATTCCACAAGGGGGTGGCAACCCTCCAAAAAATTCAACAACACCCCCAAGTAGCGCCTAACAACTTTTATAACATGTAAAATAATTCAAACAGTCTACAAATAACCTAAATTAAAATAAATACTCGGGGTTAAGCGGATTACAAAAATAATGAGTATTTTGAAAATTCGAATTTCACGGCTTTGGTCAAATTACATTTATGCACCGTGCCTCGGGATATTTATCTGTTATTATTTATGCAACTTCTCTCTTGAATTGATTTCCAGTTAACGTAAATTCCGGACATTGTTAATTATTCCTGCGGTTTTTCGGTATTTATCGCGTATCATCGGCCGGTTCGCATTTCGTTCACCGACGCACTCGTTCCTTGTAATTCCGGCATTATTAAATTAATTTTCCGTTAGCGGAAATTCCGCTAATTGCGTCGTGCGGGTCGAGTGGGCGGCCGCCTTAACTGACCTACCGCAAGGGCGCCGCTTGCGCCGGTGACTTCGACGCGGCGCCTGGGGGCACTGACCTTTGACTCGGTGCAGCCGTGTGGGGCTCAGTGCGCCGCCGACCAGCGACCGGTTCGCATCGAAGGGGAGTGTCGCTGCTTTTTTCAAGTCCTCGCCTCCACCCCTTAGCCGCGCCACCAAATGCGTTTCTTTATTAAACAGGGACTTGCATAGAGCCGCGCTCAATGGGGAACATCGGAAACTGGGAATTGTAG